CACAATTTCACGCCTCTGGCTATTGCACCTGAGCTGCTAATCAGCTCCTGGCTAACCGTTAGGGTCTAGCTCCCCCTAGCTAAACTAGAAGGGTGCTACAGTAGTCTGACAGTAACTGCCACAATACTCAAGGGTCTGAAAAGCACCACAATATATAGTACAGTCCCTGAATAGGCTTATATTATGGTATTAAGAGGTTCAATCAGAAGGCAAGTGTTCGGAGACTCTGCTCTGAACCCTGGGAGTGCTCTGTGGTTAACTTGCATAGTACACAGAGTGTACAAAAGTGCCACAATGCAGAGCTCAGTGTTCAAAAGCCATACTGACAATTCTAGAACCTTACATACACTGGGAGACATCAGAGATTGGGCTACACCAAAGGCTGTGCGGCAGCTCCGGATCAGGGGTGTCCTGCAGCTAACTCACTACATTCCAGATTTATAAGGGGGCAAAAGGAGCAATTGCCCTGGGCTCCCCTGCCAGGGCCTCCCTCTCGGTCCCAGACTTCCTTTATAAAAAAAGTAATAATTAAAAATTTGCTTTATTTAAAAAAAAAATCAAAGTGTGTGTGGGTGTTCTGGCATGTGTGGAAGGATCTTTATACACCTTTGCATTCAATCCAATTAAGCAGTGCAGTGCAGCCCCCTACGGACTGGGGTAACCCAGAATAGCACTATAAAATAAGAAAAAGAAAGGGCCTTGCGCACGAGCCTTGTGCATTACCTCAATATAAAACTTTATTCATAAAATATAGCAGATGTATACTCACAAACGCCAAATATATACAGGCATATCATGACCAACATTGGTCCATGGTCTGGAGTACTGCGCGCATCTCGCATGCAAGAGGACGCTCAAAATGGCTGATGTGTTTCGAGGGGGGGAATCTCCTCTTCCTCAGGCTCTGACCACCGCACAGTCTCCTGCCAGTGGATTAGCCAAGGTCCCTCAGATATGCAGAACTAGGCCTCCTCCCCTCCTCCATCCCACCTCCGGAAAGCTCACAGGTTTCTGAAGAAGTGGGAGCGCTCCAGAAGCCTTGACCTCATAGAGCCTACCAGCCTGTCCTGAGGTAACCTCACTATATACCTCCCAGGCTGATTCATCCACAGGCTGCTACTCAGCCTCTATTTAACAAAAACGTCCTAACTAACCTGGAGGCTGTTACAATTGTTACAATTTCTGACACAGCAGAGACAGAAGTCCATTTACACCCACCCACCTCCAGTCCGATCCGCTAAAAAGACAAGGAAGGGGATCCATGCTCCTCCGTCCAGGCAGATCGGATCTGAGGGCAGTCGGGTGTAAACAGACAGGGAAGTCCATTTACACTGCCTGGTCCATACAACATGTCTATGTCTGCTCTGCAGAAACTCAGCAGACACGAACCTGTCATCTTCCTGCTCTGATCAGAAGAGAATCAGAGGACAGATCCCCAGCTGATCTAATTGGAGTCTACCCCATGCACCATAGGTAGCACAGTGACTAATAGGTTAGCACTTCCGCCTAGCAGCACTAGGGTCCTTGGTTTGAATCCCAACCATGGCACTACCTCAGTGGCATCCCTAGGGGTGTGTGGGCTGCATCGGGTGACACCATCACAGGGGGTGCAGGAGCAGGATGCCAGCAGAGCTTCTGGGCTCTGTGAAGGTCCTGGCCAGTTATTGGGGTAATCCCGGCACAGTGACAGCTGCCCCCGGTGTAGCGGTAAAATGAGTATCTCAGACCAGTGAAGATGTGTATCCCCTGAAACAACTGCACATGTGCCGGTTTCAGGCCAAAGAAGCCGATCTCCAACTTTAGCACAGAGCTGCCACAGTTAACCCCTTACAGGCTGCAAAGCGCTGAAGCTGATCCCACGGATCACTATGGGTTGCAAGATCAGTTAATCCCGTATAGGTTCAACCTATACGGAGTTAACTGATTTTGCAACCCATAGTACTTCAGGGGATACATATCTTCACGGGTCGGGATACTCATTTTACCGCTACACCGGCACCGATCCTTCCTCTCTGGAGAGGTGACACCAACCCTAGGGACGCCTCTGCATTACCTGCATGGAGTTTGTATGTTCTAACTGTGCCTGCGTGGGTGTCCTCCCACACTCCAAAGACATGCCAGAAGGTTAATTGGCTCCTATCTAAATTGGCCTTAGTATGTGTATGTATGATTGTGAGTTAGAGACCTTAGATTGTAGGATTAGGGACTGATGTGAATGTACAATATATGTAAAGCACTGTGTAACATGACAGCTGTAATAAATATAATAAAATGTGAAACAGATCTTATCTTGAAGACACATTTCCATTGTCTCTTACCCTAGCTGACTGGAATCCATAGCTTCAAACATCATTCTGCTATACCAGCCTGAGATGGTTCCATGATTTTTGAGAGAATAACACTGAATAGTACTGGTAATTCTACACAAGGTAATATAGGGCTAGCTTTGACCAGCCTTACTGGTCTTTTTTCAATCATTGCTGTGTGTGGATTACAATTTGCTCTGTTTTCTTTGGATGGATTGCATGGAACATCAGTATTCCCTCCATGAATCATGCCCTTTATTAAATACCAGGCACAGTAAGTATTTGAAACATTCAAACAGTCATGAAAATTTCTCTGTGTTTTTCCTAAATTGATGAAAGATTCAGTCCCACCTTTTCGAGTTCATGATGAAGCAGAGCCACAGTCTACAGATAAATACATAGTACAATGTAGTGATATGTTTTGCTGTTGCAGCATTACTGAGGCTAATAGAACACATCTGTCAAAGTTCCAAATTTCTTCTATATACAGTATAATGTGTCAAAAATGTTTGGGGAGTTTTGACTTCAGCCTAAAAATGGTTTCTGGGTTCAGGATCTTTCCTCCAGTACTGTGCTATAATCCACTAAATATTTTTGGAAGTGGATCTTTCTTCTCCCTTGGCAGTGTCTTGTAACAGGGGTAAACCCATAAGCTGATATTGGCTGTGCATGTCATGCAAGAACCGTTTGACAGATATGTTAAAAAATGGTGCTGTATGTCTGACTAGTTCTATAGTGAGGTGATGAATTGATTAAGCCCCGGTTCATATATATGTGGTGCAGTATATCGCATGTGATTCGCACAGGAACTGCACCGCATTCCTGTGCAAATCACATGCGAATTGTGTGCGGTGCGATTGGAGCCATACATTTTTGGGTCTGCACAAGGATTGGATCGCATGGGTATTCACACCTATGCGGTCCGATTGTGCACATCACACCGCGTTTTGCAGACCGATTTCGGGGTGTTGTTAACTTAACATACACACCCGCAGCAGTTCGCATGAACGGGGCGCGAGTCTGATGCGGTGTGGAATTCGTACAGAAAACGCTGCGAATTCCGCACTGCAGCAGTATGAACCCGGGCTAAAATAATTTCAAGGAGGATTTTGCATAGTAAGCATTTTAATCATGTGTGATACAGTAGTTAAGCATGAATAATATCTAATAATAATCTATGACCATACTGTTAGGAAGGTGTTAGAAAAGTAACTGAGCTGCATCATACATGGTCCATAATGCCATTGTTAAATTTCAGATTCAGATTTAAAAAAAAATGTTTCTGCGGATAGAAAGGACTCCTATTGTTCTATGCCGAAATAAAGCAACTCAGCAGAAGGCAGATACTTATCCCCCAATGTCTTGTGGGCCTATCCACTCTTTTGTATCATAAAGATGCATTCTATGTGCATTTCAAACTACATGTAAGGGCTTTAATGCTTTTGTAAATGCTCAGCCGTGCATTTCATCTGCTTTTCTTGGAAGTTTTATCTTACATTTTATTTTCTTGAAAACACGACTTTTAAGATGCAGAAGTCTGAATGGGCCACACAGCAGTGATGGTCACCATACTAGACATTGGAAGGACTCAAGTGTAGTGTCTTATACCACCAAAGGTCTGCACATTATATTTATTATGTATTCTTGCATGGCAAGACCACTTATTGTTAACTCACATATATATTCTTATTATAGCCAAATTTACCACCCTAACTCCTCCCACAGTTTTTACACTACATAGACAGTAATATACCGAAACGTGTGGATTGTTCCCGATTGGTGTGCTATTACTTTGTGGAACGTTTCGCCGAATGGTTCATGAAATATTGACGTTTTTGTGGTGAAATTGGTCCCATAGGAATGAATGGTGGAATGTTCAAAACTATAGTGGGAGCTGACAAAAGCTAGAGTGTGAGCTGAAAAATCAGAACATGATTTCTAAACTGCCATCACTCCCTCATTTTCAAGCCCACCTACACAAATCTTATATCAAAACGTTCAGCTATCCCTGCTGCCACTAAAAATGTCCACGGCTAAGCCATAGTCCTGATAGTTTTCACAATATGACCATTTGTTTGCAACTCACGCCGCCCATTGACATTCATTGAAACTCCACTCTAGACACCTGAAATTTGAAGGGCAATTTCTAAACTGCGACTGTGCCTTCATTTTGAATATTTCAGAGACATACTATGCATCAAAATGTAGGTCTGGGTCTTGTGATTCTCACAATATAAAGCTCTTTGGTAGGATTTATAGTTTTAAAACTACAACCGTTTGAAAATGGCAACTGCCAGTGAAGTGAGCAAGTTGGAGCAGTTTGTTTTTAACCGCTCCTCTGCCCTTGCTGTAGAGTGAGTTGCCATAGGAACCCAGGTGTGTGAGCAGGCAGCAGAGTGACAGAAGCTACTCCGCCCAGTTACTCTGCCCACTCCAGTTGTAGACCACTGGTGGAGGCAAGAACTCTTCACACAATTTCCCCAGAAATTGTAGATTTTCTAGTTATTTGTAATGTTTCAGAAGACCTATAGAGCTTGTGATATACAGAAAGAGAACTTCAGAGACAGGGGACATATCTGCCGGAGATCACAGTTTTCACATTCAGTTCAGTGCTTCCACACTGGTGCCCCCTAAAGGCCCTCCACAAATAATACTTTATCCATATTTGATGCTCCCCACAGTGTGGATCATAAATTAACCACTCCCCGTCCAGCCCATGTACATAAACGGCTGGATGGGAGCAGTGCGAAGCGAGTGGCCGTTTAGAAACGGTGCTCGCATTTACAGCCTGTGTGCGCTCCCTGGGAGTGTGTGGCACCCCAATCCAGTGCCCGCTGTGTACTCCGGACACAGCAGAACACCGATTGCTGTACGGGACCTCTGTGTGAAGTCCCGATTCATACGATCACTGATTAGCCAATCAGTGATCACATGAATAGTAATAAGCAAGATGTCACTTCCTGACTACTAGTGAAATCTGTGAATGATCACAGAGGTCACATGGTACAAGGCTATTCCACAACAGCCTTATACCATGTGACAAGCTGTGACCAATCACAGCTCTCATAGTATTTCTCAATGGTTGCAAAAATGCATCCAGAGAGGAAAAATCTTCATCACCCCCTACAAGTAGTACAGTATTGCTAGGGTGACGGTATGTTAACCCCCCCCCCCCCCCCATAAATAATAATATAAAAAAAAATTTGTAGAAAAAGTATAATTTTAGATTATAAACTAATTTAGGTTATTTATTTATTTTTTTTATAAAAAGATAGCTAAATACATTTTTGCCAAGATTTATGCATAAAGATTATTTATTTGCAAAATTTTATAAGAAAAACACTTTTTTTAAAAAAATGTTTGGACTTTTTCATTTATATAGCAAAAACATACAAATCCCAGTGGTGAATAAATACCACCAAAATAAAGTTTTATCTGTCTAAATGCTAAAAAATCCATATGGCTACAGTGTTGCATGACCGCACAATTGTCATTCAAAGAGTGATAGCACTGAAAGTTGAAAATTGACCTGGACAGGAAAGGGGTGAAAGTGTTTGGACTGAAAGTGGTTAAAAAAAAAACACATAAAAAGAGAAAAGGCACAAACAAACTTGATAAAGAGGTTGTAGCTTGAAACATGTGGCTGGTGAGGAGCATAGGTTTAAAGCCACAACTACATCAACCAGTAACTTTGCCCAAAGATGACATAGACAGATTAAAGCTGGCCATACACATGTAGATTTACAGACGAGAATATTCGTATGACAACTGGTATGAACATCCTTTGAATATTCAGTGAATGGACAAATGTCATTTGAAAATTGTCTTTTGCTTTTAACATTCGAGTTTAAAATTAATGCAATTTCTGAATGATAACCACATATATTGGCTTAAAATTAGTTTGATCAAGAAAATTTTTCCTTCCTGCCCCCATCAAATTTTCCCTTTACTGCAGTTGAAAAGAAACATCGATTTGACCCCACTAGAAAATCAAATGAATATTCTTGAAATGAAAATTCTTGTAAGAAAATCTCTACGTGTATGGCCATCTTAAGTTGGAGAGGGCAAGGCCACAGCTTTAGTTGAAAGTTCCACAAAGTGTCATTTCTCTTTGTTGCTTCCTTCCTCTGTTATCAGCATGAATCACTTATTATACACCCTCCAGCACATAGCCTGTGATTGCCAACCTCAGTTATGTTCCTGTGTGCTGTGTGAAGGGGGAGTGTCCCTTCCCACCAATCAGCTCTTAGATCTCTCCTCACTGAGCTCTGCAGTGTGTAATTTCAGCTCATCACCCCCTGCTTTCTGAAAGCTCAGACAAGCTTGGTAAATTCTGGACTTTGAACAGATGTAGCAAACAGAATACAAAAAATAAACAGGTACAACTTATGAAGAAGGATGTTTCATCTCTGTGTATCACCTGAGGCCAGTCACTTCACTGGGAATATGTAAAGATTTACAACCACTTTAAGTACACTGCTCTATGCACACTACACTTCCCATAGTGAGCAAGAGAGGGTGGCTACGTTCCTACATGTATGGGACCTTGGAGAACAAATGTAGCAAATTCTGATCAAAGCAGAAAAAAAGGAATTTGGAGACTTGGAACAGGCTGAGAACAATACAATGTACTATTTTCCATTAAGAATGCATACTTGAATATGATTTTCTTTTTTTAAACCAGAGTTTAGCATCACTTTAATGCACATTTTTTAACAATGACTCATCTCTATAGCCAGCATTTTACCTTCACCTCTTCAGTAAATGCAGTTTAACAGGAAAAGCCTTCTATTTCTAATGGAGAAGTGCTTCTCTGCCACCTAGTGGTTGTATATGTTTATGGCTTGAGCACAAGATACAGGGCATCCTTTGATACCAATGGATAAATTGAAGGCTGAATGAATAACTGGATGGATGCATCAATTAGTTAGAAATTGGAAAATGAAAGCCAACTCAATGAGTGCCACGGGCACTTCAAGAGTGGAAGAACATCACTCGAGGAGGACGAGAGATCAGGAAAACCTTCAATGAGCTCAACCCTGAGAATGCCCTCCTTCCAAAGATGAAGATCCAACTCAAAGGTCGCCATTTTTACAACATTGCGGAGATCTAGAGATTTGCCCAGTTTCACGCAGAGTTTCAAGTTTGTTCTTTGTTTCAACTTGCTGTCCATGATGAAATAGCAAACGTGGTAATGCATGTGGTCAGGATAGCAGCAGTTGTACAACTCCTGATGTACACAGGACAATGTCTTTTGGCACACTGACTTATGAAGGTTGGTGCTCTCTGTGACTGTGCACACACCCTTGTGCTGCCACCTGTTGGAGTGTTACAAAACTAGTCTCGAAACTTTTTGATACCACATCGTATGGGCATGGGCTAGAAGATTTTGACAAGCAGCATGGGAATACTTGTGTGTGTGGACTGGAAGTGGCTTGTGTTTTGATCCTTTGCTTCGATGCTTAGATTCTGACATGATACACATATAGGGATTAGTGGTTCTGACATTTCTGTAAGTCTGAAAGAGTTGTAACGCCAGCCTGCCTTTTTTGCCCATCTCCTCCTGAATAGAGGATGGGCAGATGAATGAAAGGATCCACCTCCTCCAGTCACAGAACACTTTGGGAAGGAATAGTACAAATTCAATGAATGGAGGAAGTGGGTGTAAGGGGTGTGCGATTGGCGCAACTCATTCATGCTCCCAGCAGCTACCTCAGCAGCTCTGGAAATTTAGAGCTGTGGGGAGGACTTCATGACAGTCATTATAGGCAAGTTATGTTCTTGGTGCTGTACAGCAAAAATAAATAAATAAATAAATTAAACTTCAGCTTTAACCACTTGCCCTCCAGAGGATTTACCCCCCTTCCTGACCAGGCCCTTTTTTGCGATACGGTGCTGCGGTACTTTAACTGACAATTGCGCGGTCATGCAACACTGCACCCAAATTAAATGTATGTCCCTTTTTCCTCACAAATAGAGCTTTCTTTTGGTGGTATTTGATCGCCTGTGCGTTTTTTATTTTTTGTGCTATAAACAAAAAAAGACCGACAATTTTGAGAAAAAAACAATATTTTTGACTTTTTGCTATTAAACATGACCAGTAAAAAAATTTAAAAAATCAAATTTCATCATAAATTTAGGCCAAAATGTATTCTGCGACATGTCTTTGCCAAATAAAATCCCAATACAAGTAAATTAATTGGTTTATGTGAAAGTTATAGCGTTTACAAATGGCGGTTTAGATACTGGAATATTTTTTTTACTAGTAATAGTGGGTGGCGATCAGCGACTTATAGCAGTGGGCATTCTGACACTGGGGGGAACTGACTTTGTGTCACTGACATCCCCAGTGACACCAATACAGTGATCAGTGCTAATAAAAAGCACTGACACTGCACTAATGGCACTGGGCAGGAAGGGGTTAACATGTGGGGCGATCAAAGGGTTAACTGTTGTGCTGTTTCACTATGGGGAAGTGTGTGTTCCACTGTAAACACACTGCTTCGTATGGCTGTGCTATGCACAGTCATACAAAGCAGTGTGCAGGAGCTGACTGGGGAGAGGTCTGTATTGTTTACATACAGGTCTCTCCCCCGTGGGAGATACTCGGTGAGCACCGGGTGCCGACAAGTAATCACCGGCCGGGACCCAGTGATTGACAGCCGAGGCCACGAATGGCGGTGCGGCCCCTACCCGGAATTGCAAAATCATGAATATATACATACTTTTGCGCTCCTGTGCCACCCTGTAGCAGTATTTCTGCTATAGGGCAGCACAGAACCGGTAAAACAGCTTCCAGACTGCTAAAATACGTCAATTCTAAAACAGAAACTATATAAAAAACAGAAACCATAGCTATTTACAAAATGTTATAGTTGCCCTTGCAAACATTGTACTGTGTTTTTAGTGAGCACATGCAGTATTAAGCTTATTATTGCAATATGCCTCCAAAATATTTTTTACATTTTACCAGGCTATTGTAACATATTTCCATTGCTACTTTACATTTAAAGTGATGCATTTGTAGATTCTGCCTCTAGTTGTTATCTGCACTATAACGCAATCCACTCCAGCAACAACTGCCATGATAACATCTCAGCCATTGCAGGAACCGTGGATCCAATATCACACATCACCAATGACACCAAAGGCTTCTAACTCACTCCCTGGTCATCTCCCACCTTAACTACTGCAGATCCCCCCTCACTGGTTTACCTTTACATAGGCTATCCCCCCTCCAGTCCATCATGAATGCTACTAACAGACTCATCCACCTTACCAACCATTAAGTGTCTGCCACCCCTCTTTGCCAATCCCTGCACTGGCTGTCAATCAAGCAACAAATAACATTCAAGATACTTACAACAACTTATAAAGCCATCCACAACTCAGCCCCTACAGTAGTTACATCACTAACCTGGTCTCAAAATACCAACCAATTCATTACCTTTGTTCCTCCCAAGACCTCCTGCTCTCTAGCTCCCTTGTCACCTCCTCCCATGCTCGCCTCCAGGATTCCTCCAGAGCTGCTCCCATCCTCTAAAACTACCTTCCCCAATGTGCCCGACCAGGGGTGGACTGACAACTCATGGGGCCCCCGGGCAATAGGGGATCATGGGGCCCCTGTGTCCTTGCCCAAACTCAAAAAAGCCTATGAAAAAAGGTACCAGGGGCATCTCATGTGGCCCCCTACTGACCCCGGGCCCTCGGGCAGTGCCCAAGTTTCCAAATGGTCAGTCCGCCCCTGTGTCCGACTATCTCCATCTCTGTCCACTTTTAGACGATCCCTGAAAACTCAGCTCTTCAGAGAGGCTTATCCTTTCCCAACCTAACAACTGTACATGACCTCTTAGATTATAAGCTCCAAGGAGTAGGGTCCTCCTCACCCTCTTGTATTGAATTGTATTGTTGCTGGATTGTCTCCGTTATAT